TCAGCTACAGACCCAGGCTGCAGCTGGGGGTTCGTAGGGGAGGGGGCCAGGGCACCATGCTGGGGGGAGCTGGGGCTGTAGGTGGGTGACCCCCTGGCTTGAGCAGGCCAGCTTCTGCCATGCTTGGGCCACAGCCACGGGAGGCAAGCTCTGGGGCGCGGTGGCAGGAGCAGTCTCACTGCTGCTCGGCTGAGCTGCCCCATGCTCTGAGTCAATCCCCTCTCCTGCCCAGCAGAACCAGCCCAGCAGAACCAGGTTTCTGCGTCTTTATTGAAATGAATGGTTCCAGACACAGGGTTCGTCCTAGCACCCCGTTATCACTACGACAAGACCAGTGAGTGCTCACGCTTGACATGGACACAGAGGACAGGGCCCACCAGGCCCAGGACAATATGTACAGGCTCGTCAGGCAGTGCCGAGCCCCATTGACAGCTCGGAGGATTTCAAACACCACAAAGGGGTGGGAGCTGGGGCAGCAAAGCGGGGGCTGAGCAAGCGGAGACCTGGCCAGGTGCCACCACCCCTGCTCGCAGAGTGCAGGTCAGGGGCTTGGTCCAATGTGGCTAGTGGGGAGACAGGGGTGGAGAGGTGGCCAGAAGGAGCCTGCCTCTCCAGCCCCGAGCATGCGAGGGGGTCTGACCCCCTGCTCCAGCAGGTGCAGGGGCATCCCTGCTCCCCCTGGGCAAGGGGGTGCCATCAGCCCCCATCTGGCCTGCAGAATGCCCACCTGTGCCCCCAAGCTGCACGCAGAGGACGGGAGCTCCGTGTCACAGGAGGAGACAACAAGCTGGAGAAAACAGCCAGGTCCTGGCCAGGGCATACCCTGCCAGCACCCACTGTCCCATCAGGGAAGGCTCCATGCCCACCGCCCCCAGCACCAGAGAGGCCCCCGCTCCCTTCAGCCCTGGCTGGGCTGCCCCATGCTCTAGGTCAAACCCCTCTCCTGTCCAGCAGAACCAGGCCTGCTGCCCTGAGGAACAGGCCAGCCCCACCTTGCAGAGCCCATCCCTGGGCCCCACGTTTGGGGCAGGGCTCTTGTCCCCAGCTGGGAGCTTGCCACTCAGGCAGCGAGCAGCCCAAGGGCCCAGAGCCTCCACCAGAGGCTGCTGGGCCCAGCCCTGCCTCCCACCCCTCGGCTGGCCTTGGCCTCTCCACCGTGGCAGCCACATGACACATTGGGGGGTACGGAGGAAGGGAGCCAGGTTGGGAACAGTCGTGGGGAGCTGCCGCAGCCTTGGCACAGTCAACGGGGGTGGTGCCAAGGCAGGGTTGTCAGCAGCATGTCCTTCGGGCTCTTGGCTCCCCTGGGCCTGCAGCCACTGGGAAGACAGGAAGGGGCAGGGCAGGACCCTGCCGCAGCCAGGCCCAGGCTGGGAGGCAGCGTGCAGGTAGGGCTGGGATGCTAGGGCCCACTGGGGCCTCAGCCCTAGCATGAGGCAGGGATGTCTCAGTCTGATACAGATAAGCAGGACAGCGCCCTGGTCTCCGGGGCAGGGAGCAGCACCAGCCCCATGCCAGGCCGCCCCGCTCACGTCCCCGTGGGCGGGCAGCAAGAGCCAGGGGGACGTGGCTTCCCCGCACAGAGCGGACAGGGCACCGTGGGCCGGACTCAGTCCATGTCGTCGTCCAGGCCACCAGCCCGGCTGTGCTCCTCGTAGATCTCGCGCACAGCCAGGAGGCGGTTCTGCATGCTCTCCAGCATGCTCCGGTCCATGGGGATGACTGAGTACCAGAGTGGCGACTCCGCGATGCACGACCGCTCCGGCTGCAGGTAGAACACGTCGCTCCGGTTCCGCAGGCTCTCGGGACTGCGGCAAGAGGGGAGCGGCAGGGTGAGGCCTGGCTCTGGCCCCCTGTACAGGCTCTGCCTCTCCCTACCTGCCCCAGGGCCCAAGACCTGGCTGACCAGAGCCTGCCCCCACTCCACCCAGGGCACGCTGAGCCCTGGCTTCCCCAGCTGCTTCCTATCCAGTGGCAGAGGCCTGGATGAGTGTTCAGGGCACCCTCTGCCTCCTGCAGAGCAAGGACCCAGCAGCTGGGTGTGGGCTTCTCTTCCGGGGCCCTGGACAGCGTCCGTGGTGGAGACACAGGCAGGAGGGCATGGGTCACCCCCACCACCCCATCAGGAGGGGAGGAGACAAGCTCTCTGTCCCTGTGGGCAGCATGGCACAGGCCCTGGCAGGGGAGGGCAGGGCTGGGGCGAGAGCAGGCTGTGCGCCGCAGGGCAGGCCGGGGCGTGGGGGACAGCAAGGGGCAGGGCAGCAGGGCCTCACCATTTGGAGAGATAGAATTCGTAGAACTTGACAGGACAGCGGAGCGGGTTCATCCGGTTCTCGCGCTGCTCCAGGATGGGTGTCTCCTCCTCTCGCTTTCGCTTCCCCAGGCCTCCATCTGCGGGGGGAGAGGCTGGAGTCAGGGCTGGGCTGGGCTGGACAAGGGGGCTGGGGTGGGGGCCAGGGCCGGGGCCGGGGTCCAGTGCCTACCTCGGCCTTTCTTCTGCTTGGCAGGGGCGTAGTAGCGGATGCTGACGACCTTGGTGGTGCCTCGTGGCGTGGTGCACTTACGGGCCTGGCGCACCACATTGGTGAAGGAGAGCTGCATGTGCTCATCTGCTGTCTGCAGCCCAAAGAACTTGGTGTTGAAGAACATGAGGGTGTTGAGCAGCACGAAGGGCGAGTACACGCCCAGCTGCTTGCACTCCCACAGGTGCTCCTCCTCCACACGCGAGAACACCGTGTCTGTGGACACAGGGAAGCAGTCACTCGCTGTCCCACAGTAGGGCTTGAAATGGCCCAGCCCAGCCTGTGGCCGGAAGCACTCAGCCCCTCGCTGCAGGGCAAGGAGGGCAGGGAAGCATGGGCATGGGCAGATGTGGGGAGTTCTGCCGCTGTAGTCCTCATCCCGGCTGACTGATGCCAGCCTCACAGCCCTGCCTCAAGCCACAGCATGTGACACTAATCCTACAACCAACCACAAAGACAGCTGGGAGGTGACCCCACATGGGGCAGAGAGGGCAGAGGTAGAGGGAGGGATGAAGCCATGGGCCAGATGGATACACACCAGTTCTTGCCACCACACGGCAGGTGAGTGGACTGCCAGCACCGCAAGTATGGGCCAGGTGGCATGACCACTGGCTTGGCACATGTGGAAAGGGCCCAGATCATGAGGGATGGGATGGCCACTGGCCAGGATGGACAGAGGTCCCTGGACAGGAGCTGGGCACCTGGGCAAGTTTAACTCCCACATAACTCTGGGAACTAGCATAGCAGAGCCAGCCAGTGAGGCCACAGTGCTCTGGGCTGGGAACTGCAGAGGTCAGAGTGTGGCAGCCGTGTGCCGGGGCATTGCTCCACTGGGTGGTTTCCAGCCAGGCCATACATGCAGCCAGAGCTCCATCACCAGCCCCCCTGCACACTGCAAGCTCAAGGCACTGAGGACTGGGCTGGCTCTGGTGCCAGACCCCGGCAGCATGAGGCTCTGGTGCCAGACCCACAGCAGGAAGGCGGAGGGTCAGGGCAAGCTAAACCTTGGCGGAGGATCAGGGCAGACCTGTGCCTTGGCCATGGACCCCCTGGACCTCCAGCCTTGCTGAGAAGCAAGGCTGGCGGTCTAGGGGCCCACAGCCAAGGCACAGGTCTGTCCTAAGTGTGCCGCCCACCTGGGGCCAGGTCCAGCCCGGCCCATGCGCAGCCCTGCAACACGTACTGTTGGGCAGGATCGTGGGCTGCCAGCCGCTCAGAGACTTGTTCAGCTCCTGCACAAAGGTCAGGTAGTAGAGGTCCGTAAAGATGTTCACCATGCGGTTGTTCTCCAGCAGGTACTAGAGGGAAGGGAGTACAGGTCAGGCCGTGCAGAGGGACCTGAATGGCCACCCTCCTGGGGCTGCAGGGCTCTCAGCCTCAGGAAAGGGCCAGGCCCAAAGGGTCCCTTGATAGGGCTGGAGGGGCTACAGGCTGGGAGGCCACCTCACCTGCTGGATGCCCAAGCAGAGGTAGTAGATGCTGTCCGGCTCGTAGCGCTCACCGTTGGGCCGCGTTATCTCCTTAACAAACTGGGCGAGGCCGTAGTTGAGCTCGGCGGCCGTGCAGGCCAGGATGTCCTCCTTGATGCGCATGGGCTTGGCTGTGGGTAAAGCAGCATTGGTCTCAGCCGCAGGCACTTGGGGCAGGGAGCACAGAGCTGTCCCAGGCCCTGGTGCTGGAATGGGCCTGGCACAGGCTGGTTTCCGCAGCTCCTGCAACAGCTTCCAGCATCCTGAGGCCCAGCAGTGCCACAGCCCCTGCCTGCCCTGAGCAGGGCACTTACGCCCAAAGCGCAGCTCCTCCGCCTTGCTGGTCTCGCCACCTGCGTACTTGGCCTGCACCCAGTACTTCCAGGCATTGACGCCATATGAGTAGTTCAGTGCCGTGCAGCTGGGCTGGCTGCTCATGGAGTCCCGGGAGCAACTTTCGGACAGCACCAGGCGCTTCTGACCCTACAGAGCAGCACATGGGAGGGCTGGGCATGCTGCCACTGTGGCAGACACTGCCCTTCCCAGCACTTCAGGCATTGCGCCATCCCGCTTATCCCAGCTGCAGCCCCTGCCCACACTCAGGGGACTGCTCTAAGGCACCGGGCCCTGGCTTAGGGCACAATTATGCTTGCAGCTGGGAATAGAGCCTTCCCACAAGGCCAGCAGGGCCAGTCCAGTGCCAGGGCTGTGCTGGCACCATAAGGTGCAAGTACGGGTGCCCCACAGGCTGGTGTTGGGTTCCACTACTGCAGACAAGCAGTGCCCCTGTGAAGGAAGCCGGCTCCAGTGCAGGTGGGTGCAGCAGGGGGCTGAGGAGGAAGCTCCATGCTTGGTCCCGCTCCCTCTGTGGCACGGCTCCAGTCCCCAGAAGTTGCAGGCTGGGTCCGAGCAGGCAGCGCCCACTGAGCTGCTGGCAGCTCCGGCCTAGACAATCACTCACCTTCCGGACAGCGCGTGGCAGGTCCTGGTCCGTGGACACATCATCTGGTCCCACCAGGCCACAGTCAAAGAGAAAGTCCACACTGGGGTTGATGTCCAGGGGATCTGGGGGGAAACAAGGAGCACAGCAGGATTTAGGGTCAAGAGGTGGCATCCTCGCTGGGGTGCCCCAGGGGCAGGCTTGGAGCACCCTCTGCCACCCACGACTACCTCCCCAGCTCCCTGCCCATCGAGACCTCCTGCTCCTGCTTGCTTCCAACATCTGCCCTGGGATTGGTCTGCTCTTTGCTCTGATGCCAGCAAGAACGGCAGAGTCCAGAGCCTGCTGGCTCTGCTGCAGCTGGTCACTGGCTGCACTGGCGCCCAGCACAGCTTGTGTCCCAGCTCAGAGTGGTCACACTGACTCTGAGGGATGCTACTGCTCCTTGCAGCCACACTCCTGCCCGTGCCTTTTAGCAGCTAATCTCTCCAGACCAGACCCCATGCTGGGGGAGCTCTGCACTTAGGCAATGGGCACAGCTGCCTTCACCCTCTTCCCTACTGGTCTCCTTCCTGCAGACTGGGTTGTCAGCCTCCCCTGCATCCTGGTCACAGCTCCTGTCAAATGGTGCCTCCTCCCACTCTGTGCCCCTCGGGGGCTGCTCCAGCTTCTGTCCAGGCCCCGGTGACTCCCTGACACTGGTGCAGATGCTCCACACCCACTTCCTCCTGGATCTCTGGTGCAGGACATGCCAACTCCACATCCTTCTCCACTCACCAGCTCCTCTTGCCTGCAGTCCCGTGCCCTCCCTGTACCCGACGGCCCACGCATCCCCTTTGAAGGGGCAATGCCTATAGCCAGGTCTCCCCAGTGAGCCCAGCCTCTCCCACAATGGACCTGAACCACCCCCGCCCAGCACTTACTCTTCGGGAAGTCGGCCTCCAGATCCTGGCCAGGCTCATCCAGCACATTCGCCATCTTAACAGCCATGGCCAGCACATCGTCCCTCGCTGGCCCAAAGAGGTCGCAGTCTTCCAGCAGGCCCTCGGCGCTCTGGTTACTTACCAGGTCTGCGAACAAGGAAGCCATTCAAGAGCCCACATGAGACGTGCCTTCCCCCTGCTCCCCAAAAGGCCATGCTGCAGGTGGGATAGTCAGGCTCTGGCCAGCCAAGGCCCTGTGCCACGTGCTGGCTCCAGGTGGCAGCACTGGTCACAGCCAGGCTTCCCTGGGATGGCACTGGGGCCTCTTCCTTGAGCCTCTCGGGCACAGCCTGAGCCAGCAAGACTTATTCACAGTAGGTGCCAGGGCATGAGGACCCCTTAAGTCCACGTGCACACTGGCCACATGGGAGGGAAAGTTGGTGCCTGCCCCAGGAGAGCTCCACTGCAGGACAGGACCTTGGAGCAGCCAGACAGAGCCTCAGCAGTAATGGCTTGCGCTACAGGCTCTACCAGGCAGAGCTGGAGGTCGCCATCCTGCTAGAGCATGGCTCTTCCTGCACATGCTGGTTGCAGAGCATGGTTGCTCAGCTACGGCTAACAAAGTCTTGGCCCATGCCAGACTCTGCAGAGCCAAACCTGGGCAGCAGGCTGGCTCCAGGAGCAGTGGGGCCCCCTGGCCAGCTCTGGAGAGGGATTCCCAAGCCCAAGGCAGGGGTGGAACATACCACACAGGTCCGAGGAGGCCTTATCCAGCTCCTCTGCCTCTGCGATCATCTCCGCCATGGCCAGGATGTCAGCCTCCAGGGGGTTGGATGGGATCTTCACCTTCAGCTCCTCAATGGTCTCCACGATCTTATCTGTGCTCTCCAGTGTGGTGGGCAGGAACATTGGCACAGGCACCTGGGACCAGTGTGATGTCAGGCAGGGTCAGAGGGGCTTTTGCCAAGTGAGAAACTCTGGCCCTACTCCCTGCTGCTGGCAACAGGGTGGAGAGAGCAGGTGCTCACAAAGGGGACTGGGGGAAGGAGCATCACTTACCGGGACAGGCATGGAGAAAGGCACGGGTACTTTCTGGCAGTACATATGCATAGGCACAGGCACAAAGATTGGGACTGGGACCGGCAGCACAATCACCTGGGGCTTCCAATCTGCCTCTGTTGGGGGTAGACCGCAATCAGTATCCTGGCAGCAGGTCGGGCACAGGGGCTGCCACAGTCATGCTTAGCCCCGCAGGCGTGGCTGGCAGGGGTCCTCCACACACCATCCTCCCTGGCATGGCACAGGGGGGCCCACACTGCTGGCATCCGCTCCCCTAGCTCAGCCCAGGTGGGGCAGCAGAGAGCCAGGCTGCAGGCTGCTGCTGCTGCCGCCAAGCCCTCCCCACAGAGCGCTCCTGCTGGGTTGGGACTGACCGCCCCACAGCCCTGAGACCGCCAGAGTTCTGCAGGACCTGGACTCTGGTACAATCACGAGAGCTCTGAAGGCTCCCTGGTCTGGCAGAGTCCTTTGCCAGCCCACATTGTTCCCATGGACCCCAGGGCCCTGGCAGCCAGCTGTACCCATGATAGGGAAGGCTGACCCCCCAGATGTAGGGTGAGAACCCATCGGAGCTGGGAAGGCCCAGCTTGACTGTCTCCTCCGCGGCATGAGCTGGGCTGTGGCAGGGCTGGCGGGGGGCTGGAAGTTGTAGAGATGAGCAGCAGACGTGGGGCAAGAGAAGCAAGTGGTGTGGAGACTGGGCCACCTCTCCATGCTCTGAGAAAGGTGCAGGCCCCTCCCTGGGTATCTGCCAGCCTTGCGCTGCTCCCACTGTGCCCTGCTGGTCCGCTCCCAGCAACCCGCAGCGCCCGACACCCCCAGAACCCACACCGTGCCAGTCCAACGAGTCAGGCCCCAGCACCCAGTGCAGCCCCAACGGCACCACCACACTCACCCGTCTGACACCCCTTGGATTTCATTTCGATCTTGCAGGACACACCACGGTTCTGCATCAGGGGCTTGCACATGGCAGCTTTGTTTTTGCGAGGTGTGGCCGGAACCGGTGGTGGGGGTGGTGGGGGAGCAGACACCTGGGCCGACAAGGCTTTTGCAGACACCTGAAATAACCCAGAAAGGGGTTGCTGGTGTCTGGCTCCAGCCAAGACCACCTCTAGCCAATGGACACTCCCAGCCCCCAGGGCTGCCACTCCTGGAAGCCGTGGCAGCCAGTGCCCACCTTTGCAGTGCAGCACAGTGCCGGGACCAGACCCCTTGCTGCTCTCCATGATGCTGGGGCAGGCACCTGCTGCAGGTCATGGCCAGACCTGGCCAAGGGAGTGCCAAGCCCAGGGGCTGGTGACACCCGAGTGGCAAGCCCACCTTGTCAAGCAGGAAGGAGCTCTGGCCCACAGCCACCGGGACTGAGCTGTCAGGCCAGGGCAGGGAAAGACGGCCCCTGGGCACACGTCAAGGATCTATAAGCAAGTCCACAGCCCAGGCCTGGTTGTCACCCCATATCTGAGCACGGGACTTGGCCACTCTCCACCACCAGCACCAAGACCTCCGTGCTGCCCCCAGCCCAACCTAGGCCCTGCTCCTGGGATGAGGCACACTGTCCCCACCCTGCAACCCCTGGGCCCTGCTCTCACTTGACAGAATCCCAGGCTGGGGGCAACCATGGTCCTCCCTGGGCACCCTCGTGCACGCACCCTCAGGACATCCACTCCCTATTCAAGACTCACCGTGTTTGTCTCTGCTTTTTGCTGCGAAGAGGCAGCCGGCTTTGGCTCTGGCGTCTGACCTGCAAGGCAAAGAGAGGGTCATCAGCCCCAGCTGCATGCTCCACTCCTCTGTGGGTGCCTGCAGGCTGGCGGGGCCACGGCTGGGGCTGGACGTGGCTGCAGACCTGGGCCAGCAAGGCAGGGTCTCTGATCAGAGCCCAGGCCAGACCCAGGAGAGGTGACCAGTTGCCAGAACGTCCCTCACCTGAGCAGCTCAGAGGGCCCTGGGCCTTGGCAGTCCCGTCACTCCCGCTACCTCTGCTCTCCCCTGCACTCCACCCCATGCGTCCAGCCTGCTGTCTCCCCGGGCTGCTGCAGCACAGCCCTGTTCACAGGGGCCCAGGACCCACTCCAGCTCCTCCACTGGAGGCTGGCGGCCTGACTAGAACCACATCCCTCCTTCCTGCTGCTGGCCAGGGAACACCTCTGCAGAGTGCTTTGAAATCTGGAGCAGAAAGGTGCTGGAGGGGACCTAGCAGCCCCCTATGCACCAAGAGTGAGGCTGGCTCTGGGCTGCAGACAGCCCAGCCAAGGGTCCACTCCCTCAAACACAAGTGCATCAGGCAGAGACAGCGCCGAGCTTCTCCTGGCCTTGCACCATCTGCTCCAACCTCATGTTCAGCATGGAGGACTGGTCCCTGGGACTGCCCAGGGCACAGCTGAACTGTGAGCACAGTGCCTTCACCCCACACAGGTCGGACAGCAGGCCCCTGGGGAGTGCCTCTACCCTACTGGCACAGGGACAACCACTGCAGACAGCCCGTGTCATCGGACTGCAGCAGCAAGGGTCACCACAACACCCATCTCCTCTCCCCCTCAGCTGGGCTCCAGGAGCAGCTTTCTTGGGAGCCTGGACCCCACAGAGGAAATGCAGGGAAAGCTGCGGGTACATGCAAGGGAGACAGGCCCAAAGCCTGTGGATCAACCCCAATGAGGGCAAGAGAGCGAGTCCTGGCCGGGTCCAATGTAGGCTGCAGCCACCCCAGCAGCAGAAGCTGCATGCCTCCAGGGACCCAGCACTCATGTCCCTCCTCTGCAGAAGGAAGAACCAGCCTGCCTCTAAGAGCTGCACCTGAGTGGGCGATGCCAGGGCTATGGGGCACACCAGCAGCAACAGTCATCTCTGCAGCAGGAAGAATACTGGCCCCGGAAAGCTTCTCCCCCTGGCCCCACGTGCTAAAGGGCCAAACTGAGTGCTGCTCCGTCAGCTGCGATGGGACTGGCTCCTGGGTTACAAGGATGTTGGGGTCCTGGCTACCACCCCAGGTTTCAGCTGCCAGTGGACAGCCATGGCCAGAGCATTCATTTAGGCAGCTCACATGCCATGAACATGGTTGGCTGGGCCGGCAGGGGGGAGCAGGACCCACTACGAAGACAGAACTCCTTGGGAGGCCTTGTGCAGTGCTGACAGCAGTCACAACAGACTGGTAGCCAGAGCCTCAGGCCTCTCACTGACCACAGTGAATCAGTTCCCGAGCTGCTGTGCAGCCAGGAAAAGCTGCAGGGCCAAAGAAATGAAATATGCTGGGATGCTGAGGGGCTAGAGACCAGTGACCAGTAGGAGCCTGTGCCAAAATGAATTGAGCTCGCTGGGTAAGTGCTTTCTGGTTTCCAGGGCCACAGGCGACGTTGGGGTTTGCCTGTTCATGGCCTCACCTTCAAGCATGCCCAGAAACAGGGCTCTGTTAGGTGGGGGCCTTTAGTGCCACGGCAGGCCCTCCTTTACAGCTGAGCCTGGCCTAATGTCTCTGGATTCCACGGAAGCAGTATTAGCTTCTCAAGACTCTGGGCAAGCAGCAGCACAAGCGATGGAGGCCAGGTCCATTTGAAATCCAGTCCCTGGTATTTTCACCTCCCTCATGCTCATCTGCCAGGAGGCCTGGGCAGCTCCAAACTCCCACTGAAGTCACGCGGAAGGACTCGATCAGGGCAGAGCCTCTTGCAGCTGGACTCTGCCTGTTCCTGGCACAGAGCAGGGGCTGCTGGGCGGATGGAGTGACAGCTATCCTGCAAGACGCTGGAGAGGGCTTGCAATCTGAGGAAGAGATGAGCCACCCACCAAGAAATCCGCCAGGCAGTGTAGCTCGCCCACAAGTGCTTCTCCTGCAACTCCAGAGCAGGGAAGATGAGCAAGCAGCCCGGGGACAGTGCTCAGAGACCTCCTGAGTCTTTGCATCCTGGTGATGGGGCCGGCAGGCAAGGAAGGTCCTTCAGTGCCACCACGTCTTCAGGGTAAGCATGCACCCTATACTGAGGAAGCAGCCTTGCAACATCCAGCCCTTCTCAGGAGGCTCCAATGCCCCTCACCTGCATAGCCTCAGACTGCGCTGCTGAGTCCAGGCAAGACGCATACTAGCCACTTGAAACAGGAAAAGCAGCCCAGCCACCCTGAGGATGGATGAATGGATGAACAGCCCTGGGTGAACAGCTTGACAGAGCCCAGGTCCTCCAGGCCTGTCTGAGGAGCAACAGGAGCCTTGCCTGGGGCCAAGGGGCACGGCCAATGGCTCCCTGGCAGGGGCGCTGGTGCAGGCATTCCTGAGCATGGGAGGCCTTCTGGGCAGGTTCAGAAGAGTGGGCTGCAGGGGCTTCAGCACACTGGGCCATTCTACCGGACTGGGTAGTGCAGCCGTGTGCCCCTCTGGCTCAGCAGGCCCAGGATGCAGCAGAGGCAGCGCAGGTGCTGGGAAGCAGCGAATGCAGTGCTATGCCTTGGTGGGAGAACTGGGTGGTTTTGCCTGGATGGATCCTTGGCCTCTGGACCCCTCAGGACTGGCAGCGCCACAAGTGTTTTATCCAGGTTCCCAGAGCTTCTGGGTCCTTGCCCTTCTTCCAAATCCCGGGGCCCCAGTACAGAGCCTCTGAGGCCTTCCTGTCTTCACCCCTGACGGGGCAGGCCACATCCACACCCCCTCGCCACTCCAGCACAGGACAGACAGGTGTCCGAGGCCATGCGCAGGCACCTCGCTAACTGCCAGGAGTGTAGCTCTTGCCACAGCAGCTTGCCAAGTGAGCTGCCCAGCTATCCTGCTGGCTCCTGGGGCCACGAGTGATGCTGGGTTCAGCCCACTCGTGTCCCTGCCTCCAGGCAACTGAGGGCCCAGAGCCAAGGGCAGGGTTCTCTTTCTGCCACAGCAGGCTCTCCCTGGTCCAGCTGAGCTGGGCTTAATGCCTCCTGGGTCCCACGCAGTGGCTTCCCCAAGGTCATTGGGTGTGGGGCAGCCCACATGGCTGATGCTGAGTCCATATCTGGTACATGTCTGGCAGGAGGCCGGGACAGCTTCCAAACCTGCACAAAGCTAGGGGAGGCAGCTGGGCCCAGAAGGCCCAGTAAGCAAGGCCAAGTCCAGCATCCCACAGGTGAGCTATGCTGCCAGCACCTTCCAGCCTGTGGGATCCCAAAGCACTGCGATTGCCCATGACCAGCTAACTCGTACTGCCAACAAGGAATGGACAACAGGCAAGAGTGCCCCTTCGCTAGCCAGGATGGCAGGGAGAGCATGCCCTGGCCACAGGGAAAGCAGCTCCTGCCTTCCCGTGACCTTGCACAGGCTCAACGCTCCAGTTTTGTTTGGAGGGAAGAAAAGCACCTGCCGCAGCTCAACATGCCTGTCTGCCCTAGGGGGCCGCCTGAAGAGCCCCACCTACAGCATCACCAGCACCACCTCCTGCAGCACCCTGGCTTTTCTTTGAGGTCTCCCATCCAAGCACTGACCTGGCCCAATCCTGCTTAGCTTATGAGCTCAGAGAAGGTCACAGCTCGGAGGTGATGCGGGGCTGCAGGTGGATTGGCAAGTCCAACCATGCTGTCCCCTAACCCTGTAAATGGAGCTCTCCGCTGGCAACATGCGGTAAGAGGATGGAGTCGCCCATTAAATCCCTGAGTATCCTCGCTAAGAGCAAGAGCTACAGGCAGCGTGCTGGCACCGGCTCCTCCCGTCTGGGCCCTGTGTGTCATAGAACCATAGACGTTAGAGATGGAGATGCCCCGAGAGGTCCCACTCAGTCCTTCCCCCCGGGGGCCAGTGCAGGATTGTTCCCTAGCGTCCTGTCCAGTCCCAGCCATGGGAGCCTCCACCCTGCTGTGTCTGGGGTGGA